AGATCTTTTAAATCTGAGATGAATCCCTTAAATTCTTCCCCCAAGAAGACACCAAAATTGTATAGCATCTCTATCTGCATGAATAGGAAGCCAATAATTACTTTAAACTTTTCAAAATCTATTTTAAGCTCTAAGGAAAAGGCATGTGTAAATGATGATGGATATTAGGCATTATCATATAAAATAATACTGTGATGAGCTTGGTTGATGTGTTAAGCTGTAACAGTTCCTCCCAGCAAGTGCCATGTGATCTAGGTTTGGATTTAGAGCCTGCAGTTTTTCTGTGCATTTTAAGATATTTCTGAAGTCCCATGGCACCTCCTATCCCAAACAATTTTACTGATCCCTTTACCACGAACACGAGGCATGAACTGCTTTTATTGTTCTCTAATCTATTGCAGAGAATGATGGCTTTTTGGCATAAACTGTTCATTGTAAATGATTCTCTTTCTTGAAATTTTAAATGCCTGTGGATTGAAGAACTCTTAAAGGAATGAGCATTTAAACTTTTGATGAAAATACATTCCACATTTTTGTGGTTTTTTTTGTATTTTGTATTGTATTTGTCGCCTCTCTATATGGGGGAGTCTTTGTTTCTTGTTATTGATGGTGACAACTATTTTTGCAGAATGTTGTAATATGCTTTATATAGAGAGAACTGTGGGATAGACAAACTTTAAAAACTTACAGGTAAGAATATTATCTGGTGCTATCATTCTTCTATGTCTGAAGAAAAGAAGAGATGATTATAACTTAAATATCAGATAAATATAAATACAACTTTTCCTAAGTATGGGATACATGCTACTGATTTTAGGCAGTACATGTCTAAACTTAAAAATTTTGAGTTATTTGCTAGCTTAATATAAATTAAAAACATAATTTGCTTATAAAACCTAGAATTTAACGAAAACTATTGTTTAGGAAAGTGTTAAGTAAGAAGTTGAGCTAATTTACTATTGATTTTAAGGAAATGATTAAATACATAATATTACAGGTAATCTGCAGATTTGGCAAAAGTTATGAAGATGGCATGCAAATGGCTAAAGTTTCAGACATGCTACACTAATGCATTTGAGAAGTGGGTATTTTCTTAGCCAGTGCAGTGTCTTTGAACTTTACTGGGCGTTGGTTACAGAGCTCAGTTGATAGTGCAATCTGTTCAATTTCCTAAGTGTAGATGTACAAAATATTTGACAGAGAAATATTTTATCAAATCTTTATCAGACCTATAGTCTAATAAACCGTTGTATTTCCTCATAAATTATTATACAGTTGAAGGGATGCAGAAGATAGCCAATATTTTTTCAAATAAGAGTGATAGGGTGAAATGTCTCAGCGTGAATACTACAGGTTCATTCTGCTTGTTTCACTGAACTTCTGAACTCAGGGGCGGGGGGGACTTTAAATGTTATCTAGATCAAGGGCTATTAATGGACCATAGTATGTACCAATGGCTATATGCAATAATTTCATTTCTGGGAGTCCATCCTAAGGAGGAAATAATTCTAGATAAGGGAATAATTGGCAAACATGTTCACCATAAAGTTATAATAACAAATAATTGCAATCATTCTCATAAAAGGGGGAGGTTAAGCAAACGATACAGTACCCAAAAACATGATAGGATAAAAAGATAGTTCCAGCACAGAAAATATTAATTGAAAAACAGATTCAGGATTGAATAACTTGTATGTACACAACTATTTACATAAAATGGTATAGATATAAATTCAGAAATAGTCTAAAAGTGATTGTTGTCTTATAGTGATAGATTGTCTTTTTCCCTTCCTTCTCTCTATTTCTTTCTACATAACATGATATTCTTACATAAGATTTTAAAATTATTATATAATACACTTACATCATTTTTTGAGAAAACAAATGTAATTTATTAAATAGAACTATATTGCTATTATTATATAGTAAATAAAACTATGCAGCTTTGGAAGATAAAAGTTTTTCCTTCTTTTTATTTGGCATACAAATAACCAGCTACATGAAAGAAGAGAGGACTGAGTCTTAGTGCTAGGAACAAGCGGGTGCAGCAAAGTCAGTGAACAGAGAAGGAAATACCAATGGAAACACTTACTATTGGTTCATTTTTCTTGTGTTGATTGCTTCTCTGTCAACTGTAGCTTTTACTTCAGTCTAATAATTCTTTTGGCTTAAAAATAATAAAAAAAAAAAGGCAGGGAAGGGGGAATGGAAACTTGGCCTGACCTGTGTGCAAGTAACTTCTTAACCCATTTCTTGTTCTTATGGATTTCCATATTTTGGATTTAGTAATTTATATCTGCACATAATGTACTTATATTCAGTTTTGTCATGTCTTTGTATATGCTCCTACTGCACTTCAAAGTGCATTGTGTCACTGGCTCACCCTGCACTACTTTGACCTTAACCCCAGCACATCTGGTTACTGTGGTGCTTTCTCCATCAGTGCATAATATGCACCCAAAATATCTGCAGAATTGCCAACAAAAGCCTTGTCCATTCATAATTACCTTTTTTTCTACAAAAAATTTTAGAACCTCATCATGTGTCCTTTTAGTTGGCATTTCTTCACAATAACTTCAGCTCTAATTAAAGTTTGGACACTGCTGGTCAACCAGTCATCATTTTCCA